ACTTTATGCTTTGTGATAAGATTTTTTTGTATGAGAAGTATTGTAACATCATTTGTATATTTATAAGATTTATTTTCCCAAACATTGTTACAAATATGTGTAGCAAAATAATGAGTGCATTCTTAGTTGGCTGAGAAGACATTTTGGTTATCCGACGACAATTTGAGAACGTTCTCTCTTTTTTTTGTTCAACATATTATTTTCATTTCTTACTCTTCCACACTACAAGAGGGAATTATCCATCCTTTGAAGTTTTGATAATACAAATTAAAGACAAAATACATTAAAGCAGATAGAGAATGATCAAATGACATCAAATTCAGAGTTAAACTCGAATGCGTCGATGAGATCTTGCCGGCAAAGCCGCAACGGTTGGATTTAGTCACATATAGTGACGTTGAAGCTAAGTCTTGCCTTTGAAATTCACCAAAGCGATTCCGTTTATCTCTTCGAGTCCCATACGAACCATTACACAAGAAAGCACATAGACAAAAACATTCATAGTTTTTTCCGACATTAAACTTGGGATAAGTTCACCTCTCAAACAGAATGAAGTTTGCAAAAGTCTCTTCCATAGGAAGGAGATTGCTAAGCTCGACATCACCACTTCCGAATATATCCTAACTATCCCGATAAACCAATCGAGGAAGACATCAAGATATGTGGAACTCGGAGATGGGCTTGAAATGGGAAAGGCTATTGGCTAAGAAGCCCACTTAATAGTTGATGAACAGCCCAAAAACACTCCTCGCCGGATGTGTATCGGCACTTCGGCAGCGATACCGAGATTTTGGGAAGAGGCAGCCTTATCCGATAGCTGAACCGGAGGGATGGATGAATGGCTATGTAAAACCGGAGACTCACCAGGTCGGGTTTGAGACTATCTCCGGGAGGGAAGAAGTTTATCAATGGTGGTTGGAGATGTGGATGCCAGATGGATGGGCCCAGCGAGACTATCAATATGGCGCGGTAAAAGGGTGGTGGTGGTGGTCTCTCCAGGCTCGAATTAGAGGACAAGGATTTTAACAAGCCAAGTAATAACATGCCCAAATCGGCGGTACAACATTGCAATGATAAAAGTTGAAATTTTACCCGGAGAGGCATGTAGATCCGGAAGCTGCAAACCGCATAAGGAAGAGACATGAGCATGCCTAAGATCCCTCCAAAGGACACGACCAACAGACCGAGAAAGGTATAGATTGTCGAGCTGGAGAGAGACAGAGGAACCACATCAACTATAGAGATAAGGACTCTACATAGAGAAAAGGGAAGATCTGGTGCGAGGAGAGAGCCGGGAGGGTCAGGAGGTTCGGGCATAAGAGCCACATCTAGCAGATCTAGAGTAATGGCCAGCGGCGGCTGCTCGGGAGGAGTAGGAACAAGCCACCTCTCAACCAGAACAGGAGCAAACAAAACCAGAGCCATGGAAGAAAGGAAGAGGAGGGAGGAAGAAGAAGATTCTTGCCGGAGGGCGAGAGGCCATACTGACGACGGCGGCCGAGCTCAAACGAAAATCCTAATCGTTATCCTCTTTGGGAGAGAGAAGAGTGACCCGTGTCTTTGAGAACGTTCTCTAATCTATGCTCTTCACATGCACAACTTTACAAACTCAATTATTTTAATTACTACAAATATTGTGTAGCTATATTTAGCAATTTGATACAACTAGAGAAAATAAGTTTGTAATTAATTTGGTTACACCAACTTGATGTATGTTACACAAATCATGTAGATATTGCTATCATGTTGGTATACACATTAAAAATAAAATCTTAACAACCTTATCCACTAATATTTTTGTAGCCATTTATAACTTTTTTTTTGTCACAGCCATTTATAACTCAGGCTATAAATAGACACAACTTTATTTATAACAAATTTAGATGCATTAATTTTGTTGGTAATTGACATAAATTTGGAACAATTTATATTTCTTTAGTAGTCGTAACAAATTAGCTACACATTATTACTTTAATATTTTTGTCACAAATTTATTGCTATTCGTAACAAATTTTTGCTACACATTAGTGTTATAAAACAAATCGTGGATATGCTGTCAGATACTTGTAGTGCTATATTTGATAAATCTCTTTTTAAAATTGAGATAAACCTTACTCTTCACATAAATTTAAATTTTATGTCCTACAAAAAAAGATAACAAATTAGACAAACCAAACTCATCCACACAATCACACATTTACTATAAAAAAGCAAAACAACCGAGATAACTATTATTAAAATAAACGAATCAATAAAATATAGTAACCAAACAAAATCAATATTAGAAAATTATGTTTTGTTTACCCAAATTTGACTATAAGACATATTATTCAAAATATTCATATATATAAGTTAAGTGAGACATTTATATTATAATTTTAACTGTTTATGTAATTGTTTATGTTTAAATTTGAAGTTTTTTATTCTAGTAATGGATGTGTGTACTTTAGTAATACTTTATATGTTTAAGTATTGTATATACTATTTTTTTTTAAACATAATATTTAGTGTTTTTATCAAACATACTTAAAACAAAAATAAATAAATAAAAATCATATTTGTATTCATATTATCTTTGTATTTTATAAATAACAATTGATAGAAAAATTGAAAACATTATTTTAGTGCATGTTAAATCGATTTACGATGTATATATACATTTGATTGATCACATGCAATATTTTATTTTCTGTTAAAAAATATGTTTATATGTTAATGTAACTCAAAATCGCATCATAACAAATGTTCATACTTGGCAACTAGTCAAGCATGTGCTTGCCGCTAACGAAGATTTTATTAGTTTTAAGGAAACAATAGTTTTAGCAAAATCGTCAATAGCTCCACAGGTGCATATATGTCTTTGAAAGATGTAGGTCGTCGTTCCGAACCTGGTAATAATTTTTTTTTTTTAAACAAAAAGGACTAAATGGCCAAAACAAATTAATGTATGGACTCTTTATATGTTCATGGCTGGCTTTACAAGTGAACATATGTAGGAAAGGTGACGTCATCCGTTTCGTATTATATGTAGATATTGAGTTTGGATTCCTTTTTGTGTTTATTTTTAAATTAATTTAATCATGGGATAATATCAAAAAGGATTTGGTTGATATATGACGTCACATTTTCTTTATATATAACAATCTAGTGAAATATAAAAAATGAATTATGTGGACTATGTGGTAATAAAAACAGCGGATTTCGTATTATATGTAGATATTGAGTTTGGATTCCTTTTTGTGTTTATTTTTAAATTAATTTAATCATGGGATAATATCAAAAAGGATTTGGTTGATATATGACGTCACATTTTCTTTATATATAACAATCTAGTGAAATATAAAAAATGAATTATGTGGACTATGTGGTAATAAAAACAGCGGATGTTAGTGAAATTTCTTATATAATCAAGTGTTGTGGGATGACCGATAAACTTGTAGCATATATGAAAATATAACATTAAGATAAAAAAAAATCATCAGACATTTGATTATTTCAAATGGCAATCAATGTTAAACACGACATTTTATATATAAATCATGGAAAATATGTCAGTGAAGAATATATATTTGTGTAAATAGATATAACTATAAATTTAGTTATGACAAGTTAAAGTATATGTACTATAAAAGTAATAAGATATGAATATTTTACTTTTTATGGCTTTTACGTTTAATATATTGGGATAGAGATGGAATAAAGTATTAAGAGTGCTGCTTAGTAGTTTGGTTGAACATGAGTTTTGAACTTTTTATACAAGCGTTGATACTTTATATATCGAAATTAATTGTTAGTCAATTTTATAGTCTTTCTCAAATTTATATCCTTTATTTATTTTTATGTTTTTCAAAATTTACCACTTTTTAAAAATAATAAGTTATATATATACATTATTTTGTGTATTTCTTTCTTTCTTTTCCTTTTCGGCTAAGTTTAGTTTATTCACTCAGTCAATTATATGAGATGTGACAAACTTAATGCCAACTTTCCAAAATCCATCAAAATTGACATCTTCAAGCCTACCAAAATAATCGGTCTTATAAWTTTTTTTGTTTAATCGTTTGTATAGTACTTATGTTAGTTATACTGAAGATTAAGGTGATAAACTGATAATGGTATACAAGAGAT